TATGTATGTATGTGTGCATGTAAGTATGCTTTATTGTATCGTAATGTAGTGCATGCCAGTATGTCTACACGTCTGAATGAACGTGTGCATGCCTGCCTGCCTGCCTGCCTGCCTGCCGGCCTGGCTTCCCGTTCGTCCATCCGTCTGTCTGTCTGCTGTCGGTCCGTCTGTCCGCCTGTCCGCCTGTCGGTCTATGGATCTGTCGGTCTGTCTGTCGGTCTGTCTGGCTGCCTGTCTGTCTGTCTGTCTGTCTGTCTGTCTGTCTGTCTGTCTGTGTCTGTGCGTGGGTGCTTGTATGTGTGCATATGTGTGCATATGTGTATGCGTGTAGGACTTTGTCGTACTATGCGTAGCTGCAGCTTGGAATTCGTCATGCTTTGGAAAGTTGATGCCGGTAATTATGCTCCCGATCACGACGAAGGGATGAGTTCGTTTGCCCTCAGAGGCTTCCGATGCAGCCTCACTGTCTGCATTTTGGTGGAAGCTGGCCTTCTGGAGGCAGCTCATATCTTAAGGGCAACTGAAACTGCGGGAGATATCGGCGGAACTGAAGCATGGTTGGAGTTCGGGGGTGTGTGCGTACCACAGCAATCTGCTCCGACGTCGTAAGCTTCGTTGGTCATGCGCAGGCCGACTTCCAGTGGCTGTGAGGAGGCAGCGGCAACAATGCTGCTGGCTCCGATACGGCGGCGCACCATAGGCGAAGAAGATTTCCTGAATCCAATCCATCCTGTCAAGTGGCGCAGCCCTGCAGGTTTGCGGCTATGCCGTGCCACCAGATTCTCAGACTATATTCTTAGCCAGACAGTGTTTGACGCGCATGAGTCTGAGCGGCATTTTGGGCTGGTTTTTGCTTTGCTGCTGTGCTGCTCAGGCAGTGTCCAGCACGACGTCGAAATTCACATCTTGGGTGTCTCTGCATCAGTGGGCGAGGCGAAGGACAAAGAGTGTGTGCTCATTGAGGTGGTGATGCACATCACGTCGAAGGACCCCTACGGCCTTGCGGTGTGGTATGTAACACTGCTCCACAAGAGATTGGACCCGGATTGTATTTTGCAGTCGGCTTTCTTCGTGGGTGGAATAGTTGAATAGATGCTGTGCCGATCAGTTGTGCTGTGCAGACTGCAGAAGACGCGGGTCGATTGTTCGGTTGAGACTGCAAGAATCTAAGAAGTGGACAAGTAATTAGTTCGCTCCCATCGCCTGGACGACAGGACGGCTGCTATGTAACGCAGGCCAGCAATGCTCTCGGAGGATTTGCAGCGCAAATTGCTCAATTTTAGATTCTAGGGC